TGGGAGTAGGGGAGACAGCACAGGGAAAGAGTTAAAATGCAGGTTTTTATTCAAGATAAAGTTAGATTAGCGTATGTAGCTTAGACCTGAGGTCAGCATGAAGTTTCCTACTTTTTCCTGGCTGAAATGAAGACAGCTGGGTTCCCAAAGAGGCTGACTGACTTCCCCACCACCGGCCAGGCTCAAAAGCTAAAGGATGGCAGCCTGCTGATTGGCCTACCCACTACATGGAGGAGAAAGCCCAGAAGTTGGTTTGTACTTCTTTCAAGTACAAACAGGTATAAGCACGTTCAAGATTATCTAAGATTAAATTACCTACGCATCACACCTCAAAACCGATTCCCTTCTCAAGTTAACATTCAGAGATAAAATTCTGATACGCTTGCTAAATTAAGCGTTACTGTTTTCTGTTCTTAAACTTTAAGTATGCTTAAATATGAACATTTTATTTTTCTCTCTTAAAATGTAATACGTTAAAGCTAGTCTGAGGGCGATGATGTAAAGCTATGCCCAGGTCTAAACAGGAAAGATACTAACCATAATGAGGACCCGGGGTTTAAAGAGCAATGCCTTACCTTTAGCACAGCGAGAAGAGCTCCAAGTTCTTCAGTCAGTGTCAACTTCATCTTCCCACTATTTAGAAGTGACTGTATACCTTTTAATGCATTTTGTAACAACTAGGGGAAAAAAGGAGACCAAGTCAGAAGGCAGAATAAACTTTTAAGCATCATTTAGGATGAAGGAGAAAAAGTCTTCTTTCAGCCCGCTTCCAAAAAAAAAAAGCAGCAGCAGCAGCAGAGATAAAGATCCAGAGAACAGACCTGATGAACTACAGGTAGTCCCCAACTTATTATGACAGGGTTCTGTTCCGACGACACTATCGTAAGTTGGTTCTGATGCAAGTTGAATACCTCACTTTTACTTTCATTATTATTGCCCTTTATTATCAGTATCTTTATAAATCTAATCTTTGTCTCTGGGGGCTGGCATGAGAATTATGTGCTGCAATATTGTAGGTAGCACGTATTACTAACGATCAAAATATACCCAAAAAAACAAAAAATGACTGTCATAAATGTGGTCCACTGTAACTCAAATACATAGTAAGTCGGGGACTGCCTGCACTACTAATTATTTCTGGAAGACAAGAATGCTCTTATTGAATAAGAGTGTGTTTATTGTACATGTTTATAAATCAGCATGTACAAATGGTAAGCAAGAAAAAAAGAGGAGATGTTCAGTTGGAAGAATGTGGTAAGGAATCAAAAAAATAGAGCAGAGATCAAACTGGCAGCAGCAGCCAGGGACACTCTGTAATACAGCAACCTCAGAAACTCTTACAGGCAAATGAATGCAGGTTGGAGCCGATGACAAATGATAAAAACTTGGTTCCTGGATGGCAATTCTGATCGAGGCTAATTTCCTGAATCGGTAATCTCACTTCAAGGAATCTGTCCTTAAGAAATACTCCCCATAGGCACGTGGGGAGGATGTGAACTGTACCTTCTTTTGAAAGAGTTGAAAAATTAAAAAACTTCAATTTCTACCAATTATGATGATATAACAATGATGATGTAAGAAGCTATTCCTTTCCTAAATGTGAAACTCAACGATAACATCAGCAGGCACTTTGCCAAGCACTTTAAATGCTTTATTTCATTATAATCCTCATAAGAATCCTACAATAATCTTAGTCTTATTTCAGGGATAAGAAGCATGGGGGCTCAGAGAAGTTAAGTAACCTGCCAAAAGTCTCCCAGCTATAGCAGTAAGAAAGTATGAGGTACCTCAATAGGTACCGAAAAGATGCCAAAAAGATACTTAGTTTGAAATAAAGAGCAAGTTACAAAATGGTATACTTAATATGATTCCATTAAAAAATTGTAAGTAAGTCACAATATTGAGAAAGCCAGCACAACTTGTACAAGACAAGCTCATGAAAGCTCCATAGACA